GAAAATATATATTTAATTTTTTATGTAAAATTGACTACTAACCTATGCATTTTGTTATAATTTAAAATTATCCATTTTTAAGCATTATTAATTATGCTCTATTAGTCTATTCTATAGGAATTAGTAGCCGATGAATAAATTGGTACGAATATTATTATAGTGTAGAGTAAAAGTTCCTGGGATAACAAGTTTCATAATTGCTTTATTCTTTCTTAATGCTATAATTTTCTTTTAACGATTCGATTTTCTGATTAAATATTGATCGACGAGAATCAGGTTTGATAAAAATAAATGTTCAGATTAGTATTAAGGGGATCCTAAAGCCGTCTATATTACCGACTAAATCGTAACTTTTGTATAACAATTATTTTTTTCCTCTTTTACAGATTCGAAAATCCTTTTCCAGGATTAAAGTATACGTATTAATATGTGTCTGTGAGGTGGAGTTTATGCCGAGAACGACAAAAAATTTCAAAATTGAAATTTTAAGAAAAATTTTTTGTCGTTCTCGGCATAAACTTCACCTCACAGACACATATTAATACGTATACTTTAATCCTGGAAAAGGATTTTCGGATCTGTAAAAGAGGAAAAAAGTAATTGTTATACAAAAATTACGATTTAGTCGGTAATACTGCTTTAGGATCCTCTTAAGATATTCGTTTTTAAGCATTATTTGATAATTATGTTTGATTCTGTAAGAATTTACAGCCGATAAATAAATTGGTACGAATATCATTACACTTATAACATATTATTTCACAGTAACACAAACTAGTGAACTAAAAAATAAATAATAAGGTATTTTAAATACTTAACTATGTATAAAGATTACACACTACAACATATCTGAGATATAAATAATTATTTAATTATATTCAGTATTCAGAATAAAATAATTATTTAAAGATAAATTTATCGATAATTTAATTTAAAAACAATTAGAGATAAAGTGCCATCCTATAAGTAGTAATTGACATATCTCCTTTCACATTTTTTCCAAAATGCTCATTTTTAATTGCTCATAGTTTAATTAACGAGATTCGGAAAATAATGACGTTCAAGCAATCAGTTTCTTCATTCATAAGTTTCTCAAGAATATTAACTGATAATCCGACCATAATGAAGAGACGTTATAAATTTCATTAAAATCCCTTTTTCTATTTAAGGAGCAATTCGAATTTTACTAAAATAAATGCGACTGATCTTTCACAATTATTTTCTTCTTAAATTCTATTTGATTTTCCGACTTAACTCGAGAAAACTTGCCGTAATCGACGCGTTTCCGCTGACCGTCGCCGCACGTAGATCGATATTTAATTAAAGGTGGATCGTAGGGAAAAAGGAAAACAGATAAGTGGAAGGAAGAAAAATGTGGAAAAGATTGGATAAATCTGGTGAACGTGAACTAAAAATGCATCCGGCCGTGCCCCGAGAAAATGCACGTCGAGCAATTCTATATCCCAGCTATTAAAGAAATCTATATATTCGTCCATTTCCAATAAAATCTATAAAATATCTGTTAGATATAAGTACGTTTTCGAAATATTGCACATTGAACCACGTTTGATATACCATCAATCTTCAGTTTAAATTTTTACAGTTGGATGACAACGGTATAGAATAAAACATTTCTTTTTTTCATCAAAGTGGAAGTGGTTTTTGTTATTAGTTTCACAGGTGAAAAAGGAATAATAAACTAAATTCTTTATTAAAAACCTCAATTTATTACGGTACTTATTTTTAAAAGCAGAACGATTAATGATAAAGTATAGCAATGCAGTATAAACAACATAATATTTTATCATAATTTTATGCGTGCATGATTAGAATATAGCATAGTTTGATAATTTAATTAAAAAATGTTTAATTAATTATAATGAAAGTATGACACATAGGGTAACTCCGGCAAATACGCCGCGCTGGGATTTACGCCGCAGAAATCAGAAAAAATAGAAGGATTGGGGGTAATTTTCCCGTAACTACTCTGTTACATGCCTTTATGTTATATTAGTATTGTGTTATGATTTCAGCTTCTTACTGTTAATATTAATGAATTTATTGAATCGATTTGTCACTGTAATAAGTAACGCCATCATAAGTTATAATCTACATAAAATGATTAATGTAGGACGTGTAAAAGACTTAGTGGTTATTCGTGATACATACGTGTAGTGGAATAGTAAAGCATGTTTGTATTATTAAGCATGTTTGCATTATTTGTAAATTTTTCATGAGCCGTACATACCTCCTTTCCCCCTATGAGTAACCATATATCCCACCCCTATGAGATATGCGGCAAAAATACAAGGTTTCAAAAAGTTCATTTTTTAATATGAAAAATAAATATTTCGGATTTCTAATATTTTTTTCATAGTAGTAGACAGTACAAAGTTTTTACTGATACAGTTCGTTTACTATAAACATAGTAAATAATACTTAATAAATTAAGTTTTTGATAGGTGCGGCATATATACCGGAGTTATCCTAATATATTCATTATATATTTAATGTATATACGTATGTATCTGTATATACGTATTATACATATACAGTGTATAAAGCCTAAATAGAAACGGAATATTTAAGTATTATAATTGGGAGGGGGGGGAGTATCAGAGCATACGTTTCTGCAGCAAATTTTTTAAATTGACAAAACCTTTGTGTGTTCAATAAAGAGAAAAAGATCGCGCAGATTATTTTTTCAATATCAATGTTATCAAACATCTTAAAAGCATCAACTGTCGGACAATTACACTCATCAATTCCGGATATTTCTACTCCGAATGAAAAAGGCAAAGCGCCGTTACAAAAACGGCATTCATCCACCAGTTGCATACATTTACTGCCATTCGCTCGATAACAATAAAGCCTGCGTAGAAGCAGAAAGAAACCTGTCTAAAACGAGAGAGGAAATTCGGGAACGTGAAAAAGTGGGTCGTGAAAATTGGATGGGTGTGCCGAAAAATTGCGTTTGTAGAGAAAAATGCACAGCGAACCGTATGACATTCGTTTCCTAGGAATGATTCTCGATTGGTACCAAGTGCCCTTCAATCTAACGGGTGTCTGTGAACGAACCGACTGACGGACACTGAATGTGACCATTGGCTTGGTATATGATTCTTCGCGGAATGATTCACCATCTATGTGAATCGCAGCTGAGTCGTCCGCAAATTTGCACGCTTCGATCGTTTCATCGACCTTTCCTTTTGCATCCCTTGTTACCGCGAAACCGTGTTCCCGGTACTCCAGATTGCCAGACTTTCTCGCAGCGGACCCAAGAATTTTCGAAAGATTCTATTTGCGCGTGTTCTGCGGAGCGAAGAATTTAGGTAGGTAAATTATAAAGCGTTCGTACTTCGATGTAAATGCTTTAGGAATCTCCCCCTTTCTATTCACATTCATCCCAAGCTGCGAATTTGCAAATTCCCCGCTTGCTGTTTACTTCGATTATGATTATATATAATAAAAAAGTGAAAATATCTTTTCTTTTTTACTTTGTTTCATGCCGGAAACGATTGAGAAATATGTCTGCGTCATTCTTCGTAATTCGCATCACTCCGTATTCATAAAATCTAATAAATTCGAATCAACCGTGTTCACTAAATTCACATAAAGCACTAAAAACTTCGACGATGGCTGGAATGCGGTGGGAGCTGAGAAGCGAGACCGGTTGCTAAAGAAAAGTTATACTAAGACGATCATACGTCTTCGTTAAATCTATGCCGTGTGCTTAGTCAACGCCACGAGATACGCATCGGAGAGATTTCACCTTTGAAGGAAGCACACTGACGTCTGTGTCCCCATGACTCTTCATGATATATCGTCACAGACACGCCATTTCCTACGCGCTACGACACCCACCCTTACGTTCTAGGTTCACATGTGTGGAATGCGCTCTAATCGCGGCCGCGATATTTATTGGCGGCCCCCTATTACGGAAGCGACAATTTGTCATGCCGCTGTATTAATTACGTAGGTTCCCTTATGCAGATAAGGGTGCTGGAAACAACCTGTTTGAATCGAAGCTGTCTCCGGTAAATTTTCAGATTAATTGCCGTCGAGCTAGTCAGTGCCTGTTTGCAATTAATAATGATACATACATATGTACAACCTTTGTTAACCCCCCTTCCTTCGAGAACCGGAGCTTTCTAACTAAAAGTAACTTATGGAAGGTCTTTCTAAAGATTTTCTAGATCAATTCAATTCTTGTATATACCTTACAATTATAAAATTCAAATTTTGGAAATTAGTCTTAAAAAATTTTTTTTAATCTGATTATCGTAAAACTCGGTGCCCTAAAAATGTTGAATTTCGAAAGGATAATAACCTTCAATGAAGATTGGATCTAGTACAGAGTTCATAATCACAGTTTAAAAGCCATTTTAGGTTAACTGTTTGCGTGGCATTAATGAACTTCAACTAAAATGAAACTGGAACTCAATAATACTAAAAAATTTCCTAAAATTATAAATTTTATGATAACCAGATTTTTCTTTTTTTGAATTTTTGTTCGAAATATTGGACTATTTTGAATTTTTTATTTTTTTACCTCAGATTCGAATAAAGCATTAGCAAATTACCCCATAGGCCAAGTTTCAAAAAAATCAAACCAGTAATTTATAAAATAAAAGGGGATAATCCCAAATGGTCAATGGGATTATCAGTTTACAAAGAGTTAATTGTCCTGCTTTATATATTCTGAGTAACATGATAAATGAAATTCGCATTTCAAATAGCTTCATGTTTATATTATATCCGCATAAACACAGCTAAATATATGTGATCTTTAAAGGTATAAATATAATTCCAGCGTAATTAATATTATAAATTAATATTATAAACAAACAAGCATATAAATAATCATATGAGAAATATCATAAGCATTGAATAAAGTATATTATGTAAAATTTAATTAAATTCATGATTATATATGAAAGAATTCTTGTCTGGTGTTTACAATAAAATGTGACAATACAATTATAGAAGAAAAGACTCACTACTTTGTCACCCAAATTTCGCACGCGGCACGGTAGATATGCGGTTTGTCCCACAAACGCACTGACATTCGCTGCTGTCGGCTCGAAAACGGGCAGATCTTCTATCAAATCATTACTGGCATCGTTTACATGCCGCTGCGCATCTTCGTTGGATGTCACGCGTACGTGTGCTGACGCTAGAAAGAGAATAATGATCTGGTGAACATGACTTTCGATGATGAATATGTTTCTCAATATAATCTTATAAATCCTGTTATACATAAAATTAATTTGTATTTCTGTTGCACTTTTGTTTATAATTCCGATCTTAGCGTATATATAATATTTTAAAAAACGAAGGGAATTAAAAATGCTCGCATGAAATATTGTAGACATTTTCTCTCATTCTAAATCTGTTCTTTGTGGCTGAAAAGTGTGCATTCGTTGTACGTAAAATGAAATAAATATATATTTGAAATTTTGCAAAAGTGAGATAGAAAGTTTTAGTACAGTCCAATGTAGCGACAAAGAATAAATCGTTTCATAGAACGATAATTAAGGATTATTAATCTTTTATCTGCAATCATATTTCTTTCATCTGCAATCTGATTTCTGCTGTTTTAGGTTTCCAAAGAAATATGGGAAAATTTAGAATTACTTTGAAACATTTCTATTACATTATCAAATAGTTTTTTTTACAAGATATTTTAGGAGGAAGAACCAAACTTCACCCTCTAGATTGTGCACAAAGGATTAAATTTATTTTTTAAAAATCATAAAAGATGTGCTAATCTTATTTTTGCATGCAAAAGATCATGCGAAATTTTTGTCATACGGATTGAAAGAAGTCTATCTTTTTAATATGTTCGCGTTGTAATCACTTGTGCTGTGCCGCTATACGTCACAAAGAAGCGCATGAAATGTGTTCCACTCTCCATGAAACTTATATATGCGAATTTTGGACAGGAAACCAGCGCTCGCAGACGTCTCCCATGAGAGCACAACTCTGAATCAGCTACGAACGCGCGACTGCTGGATGTACTACTTACAAGATACCAGAATCCAAGTGTGTTATAACTGGCACAAGAGTAGCGAACTGGCGCCGAGCGAGCAAACTCAGCTCATTTCTTAAGCGTAATACGCTCTTCGACATTTCGGCAGAATATCTTATAGAACACAGTTATGCACTCTGCCTCATTGTATATGCTCGTTTGTATCTCCTTAGAATTCTACCCGTCTTCAAGTTCGTCATGTAGTATAAAGAATAAAACGTTCTCATTTGCCTTTCTTTATATTGTTTATTTTATAAAGAATATAATCCAGCTTTCGCGATAATACACGCTCGTCTTGATGACAAAAGACATCAAACGTGTGCAGCGAACGATATGCATTCATTTCATCGAGAACACGCTCGCACTAACAATTTTATTTTTAAAATTTTCGATAAAAGATGTAGTTATTAAAAAAAGAGGATAAAAACTAGTTCGTGTTTGATCAATAACATGTTTTTATTGATTCGCCTGTAGAACTGATTGAGTTTAATAAAAGAGATTGTTTGAGTATTTGTAAAAACTTGTTTTGTTAAACTGGATTAGAGACTTTTTCGTTTTTATTATGAGTACTTGTACCTGCTTGTAAACATTTTCATATTTCGAGTTCTCTTGATACGTAATTACAATTTGACTATGGATGGGAAACCATGGATAATTGAACCATATATCTATAAGTAAACAAATTTTTTGTTATTTTTATGAAAACTTTTTTTACGTACATTTTGTATTGTTTTTTTTTACGTATCGCTGAGTATATAAATTCATATTTGTAGATTTTGTAGCAATACAATATATACGTACACATTTATTCCAAAATTAAAACTCGAAAATCTAATTGCAGTACGACTCGTAGGAGATGATATGCGAATTATGAAGAAGAGATGAGTATGCTTTAATTTTCCTTATGCTTTAATTCACACACGTTTTCGCATCTATTTGCTTCACGTGTGCGAGTGGCATTGGAATAAATTCGATTCGCATACATTTCTCTCTCTCTCGCAACCCATCGAATTTATTTCAAATATGCATGTCACGTAGAATAGTGACACGTACTACAGGAGTCGCGCGAAAGCCAAACTTTCAAACGATTTCGATTTTGGGAGATTATAAAGGGCACGCATTATTCACACAAATTCTGTGGAATAACCGCAAACATTATTTCACAATCATGACAATATGATTTACTAGCGCTAGTTTGATTATGATAAAATACTTATATTATTATTAACATCTTTTATTTGAGTCATGTAAATTTAAATATTTTTCGATATATCCAGCGAAATTTCCGTACAATATTACGTAAAATAAAATAATCATACTTTAAATCCAATATTACACTTTCAATATTAAAATTGAGATTTTCTCCCTTTTGATTATATAACTTTTAAGTTAATATAGTCCTAAAACCTTGGAAAAGTCATTACTCTAACTTGTTACGGCCTTCTGGCTTTTTGATATTTCTGTTGGCTGTCTGAACATATGTTGCATAAAGTCTTCGAAGTTTCCGAATAAACATCATTCAAACGGCTGCCGGGTTATACGTCGTATCGTTCTCTGTATACCTTTGGAACAGTTAGTATATTCTCCATCATCATCAATCATCATCAGACCGAACGACGATACTCATTGGCGGTTGACAGGGATTGATCCGAAAGGAAAGTTCGTAATAGAAACTGGCTGACTATGAGTCCATTAATACAAGAAAGAGAAAACTGAATGAAATAAATGTATATTAAAATTTTTGTTCTCTTTAAAAATTTAATTCTCGCATTTAGTTATTTTATCAGTTACAGTCTGTATTATTTTTACTATTTTATTTAAACCAATCACTAAAATGTTATGACAAATTTTTTTTATATCAGGTATTCCAGTTATGCAGTATTTCTATAAATTTGTCAAACGCTACACAAAATGCTGAGAAAAGAGTATTTTTTATTTGTAATTATATAATTGCATAGTAAAATGATTACGGTTAAAAGATTCATTTTTATAGTTATTATTGTTATAACATTAATAATAATAATCATAAATATATTCTATCAAATATATAATATATATATATTGTATATATATAGTTGGCATCAAAACTGACTATAAATTACAGTTAAATTATAATAACTGTAACTTTTTTCTCAATATATTTAGAATAAGAAATCATTTTCACATGCAATATAATCCACAAAATAAAAGATTTTCTATAAAGAAAATCGCAAAATTCTGCGAATATAAATTTTTTATTTCAATTCACTATGATATTGTGCAACCACTTCTTCCAGCAGCAATGTCCCGATTGAGAATGAAAAAAATACTACTGTGACCCCAAAAAAACAAACGCCTGTCAATCATCGTGTATCGTCTCCCTTTTGACTCTCGCGCGCATGCAATCTGATAAATTTAATTGGATGAATCTGCGTGCAAGGGTAAATCCACGTACGACGAATGCAGGGGATGGAAACACGAATTGCTATCGAATTATCAAACGAATCTGCCCAGAACAACCCGTTGACATCGTGTAACTCGTTGAGCTGGCCATTTCATATAACCAACGTCTATCCCAAAAACCTGCGATATCCTCTTTCAATCTCAAAGCATATGACGGTACGCTTATCACATCTGTGCATAATCTTTATACGCTATCACCTAACGTGTTCGAAACTTCTGCTTAAAAATTGAAAACTTAAAATGATTTCTTGTACCGCTTTAAATATCGAAAAAATGTAGCAGAAAATAATTTGTAATTGTTTGCTTGCATTTTATGTGGTGTATTTAATATTTAATTTATTGAATTAAAGACAATACTAATTTTTATGTGTATTTCAGTACATTTGGAATATCATATGGATCGTTGTTTTAAAAGATATTTTAGAAGATGCACGAATATAATACCTAACAGTACGAGAGCATACTAATGAGATTTACAAGTCGAAGTTAATATTGACGCAGTTTATATGAACATCTTCGCTTGGTTTGCTTGAGAATCGGGAGTAAATATTAGTTTGGTTCCATCACTACTTCTCCCTCCCATCCCTCTTCTGGTGCGATAACGCCCGTATACATACCTCACTCTACTGGCGTTATACAAATGACCAACACTCCACCCCTTTATGCCTCCACCCCACAGTAAAGTCCTGCCACAGATCCTGATAACTCGAGATTAATTGACAAAAAGCTACCGTCACAAATAAGGATGATTACATGAAAATCGTCCGGTGTCGCCATTATCGCGGTCTCTACCACTTCCAATGTTCTTCCGATAGGAAATCGAAAGGAGGAAGACATTAAATTAACTCCAACTCGTTTAGAATTAATATTTACATTAAGAAAATAAGACAATTATTCTTTTAAAATAATATAGACGATTATATTTTGCAAAACATAAATTACAGTATAATTACATTAATATTATATTATAATTTCTCACTCAACAATATAAGTGTAACATAATACATGTTGTGCATAACAGTTATATTGCTAAGTAGAAAATTATAACATTGATGTAATATTATTGTTACTTCTGTAAGAAACGAATTAGGTATGTTACGTTATAAAACTAACAACTTCTTTTGATTAAAATGCATAATCCTACACGAAATCTCTTCTACCATTGTATCATATGCAATATTAAATAAAGAAATTCCGGAGCAAATACATGAACCATATCAACATACTCACGGAACAATTTCCACTCTGGTTTTCCTTAAGCAAATACGTTAGAGTATTTTCACGTCTGATTATGACCGTCCGTTTCCACTTGTCTCGCTAGCTATTAAGCTATCACAGGCGCCACCTCTGCAAATGTCCTTGCAACCCCTGTATGAACAGGGTCACTTCTACTCTCGTCACTCTTTTTTATCCCAAGAGTTTTTTTCGCTTACAGAATTTTCGTAAACTATAAACTCCTCGCGCGTAAATGTGCCATAAACTAAGATTGCCGCTTTCCTCCATCATCATTGTCGTTCCTGTGGTCGGTAGTATTTTTCTTCGTAAAACGTCAGAGGGCATACTTCTTTTTAAAAAGATCGGGAAAGAACGAAACTGCCCACGTATACGATCTGTATGTTTTTATCGGCACTAAAAACGTCTGGTCACGCCAGACGCATTATATCACACCAGATGATCGTAAATTCGGCCGAGACGTCGTCGCG